AAAAAACTGTAATTAAATTTAAACTATAAAATACTATGTGAATTACAAATTTATTATATGTATAATGTATATGTCACAGTAAGTATTAACTTTAGTAAATGTATACATTTAAATATAGTAATGATTAAAACAGACTACAGCAAGTGTATACATTTACTGAGTTAACACTTTAACTGCGACATATATACTATACACATATAAATTTTTTAAATAAAAATTGCAATGATCTTGACCTGAACAAATGTTATCAAAGTCATGACCCTTTTGAACAATTCAAAAGAGCCATCAGTTAGATCGTTCAGAATTGGTTTTGCAAGCATCGTATTTCACCACATCAGGCGAAATTTGATGAAATATGATGCTTGCAGAACTAATGCATGGAATTTTATGACTGCAATTGAAGAAATGTGAGCGGGTGCATTGATTATGATGGAACCAAAAGTTGGTTGCTTTATGAACAAAATAAAAAAATTAATGAACGTATCTATCTAAAATTTTAACAGTATCCCTGTAAAGGATTAAACTTGTTTAAAATTATAGCAGTTTGATATTTGTGGCAGCATTTCTGTCAAGCTGAAAACTTTTCGAACTACCTTCGTATATATATATATATATATACACACACACACACAAGAGACAGACTTGAGAGAAAAAAATAGTTACATAAATGATACTCACATTTCGTGTGTTACATACTAGATTTAACTGCTGTATCTCTCCTACTAGCTCTACATTTTGTGTGAACAATGCCTGGTTGTTCTGTTTTTCTTTAGACAGTGCTTTTGCTAAATGATTATTATTATGCTTTAATTTCTCATATACTAAAAGAAGAAACAATTTTAACAAAACAACTGCCATATGTCAGAGTAAAAAATGAATTGCTGTAAAATTCAAATTTTCTTACATGGTCTATAGGATCGTAATTCCTTGTAATGTGTCCTCAAGATATGTGCTCTTTTATTAGCCAATACTCCAACTCTCTTAAATTTTCGAATCGGCATTTTCGGCATGTTATATGTATGATTCTATATAATTTCTCTGCTCAATGAATCTACATATAGACAATAGGACAATGTATAGAAACTAAAATAAGGATTCTGTTCTATAACTATTATGGCCATTCTACAATAAGCCATTAATCATAAATCAGAAGTTAGAAGCTGACAGAAGTTAGGACCAATCACAGTCGTCAATTTCCAGCTTCTAACTTCTGATTTATGACTAATGGCTTATTGTATAATGGCCATTATGCTGATTCTACAATGAGTCGGTAGTCAGAAATTTTAAGTCTTAACCAGTCTTAACCTAAATTGGTGACTATGATTTTTTGCATCTACTAGTTAATTGTACAGCGAGTTGTTTAGCTCGATTAATGGGAAGAAATAAAGTCGAATTTGATCAGTCTTAAGAAAATCGGTAGCTTAGTCGTACAAATTGGCTGTTGTCCAGCTCCACCGATTCACCGATAAGATTTAGGACTACGACTACCGACTCATTGTAGAATCAGCTTAGAAACGACTCCAACAATATTGTTACATTATCGTTGCACAGATTTTGTATTTGATAAAAAAACTGTGCAAAAGCAATGTAACGATATCATTATAGTCGTTAAAGACTGCGTTCCGTTTCATGCATGATGCGCATGATGCATCTTTTACCTTTGTTATTCACCGATTGTTAAATAACGAGGATAAATAATGCATTATGCACATCATGTGTGAAACGGAGCGGCCTAAAAGAGTTACACAATAGGGTCCTAAATCTCATAAGTTTATCCGGAAAATTCAAATAAACATAAGTTTTATCATTATTGAAATTGAAAGGATAAATTGAATGATTTAATTATATTAAAAATCTCATTTTTCGATATTCTTCCTTATCCTGCGAAAAATTGTCCCGTGAACAAAACAATCTTTTATTGCTGTTTATTAGTGTAACTTAACTTTCGTTTAATATTAATGAAGATACAGATATGCTTCCCCCTTCCTTTCGACGAAACGTACCAAACATACTTCATAAAAAACGTACTTCGTAAAGTAAATCCAGTTTCCCTTGCGTACCTACAAATCTTGCGTTAAAGATTTCCTTTTTCACATGCGAATAACCGAACAAGAGAATACTCATGACCTTTGTGACGTTTCTATCTGCACTGAACGTTGTAACACATCGGTATTTAAATGATCTCGTAGAATCACTCTGAGCACATCAGCACACATGGACCTAATGCACCTAATGCACATAATTGACACACACACCACACACACACACACACACACATATGTGTGTTGTCGTTGGTGTCTTCCATTTTAAATCGTAGGTCTGTTCATGGTGGAAGAAGATAGAGAGATCAGGTGAGACAACTTGAGGGATGCGAAAATGATAATTTACGTTTGCCAGACGTTTCAAAGGCTGCGTTCAGCAGAGAAAGCAGCTTTGCAACTGTTGTAAAATTCTTCAATATGATTGGTTTATACATTTAGATCTGTCAGGAACCAAAAGCAAGAACCAATGGTCGCATTCAGCAGACTCAACTGTTGCGGAGCGGATCCGTGAGCGCTCACTGCTATTGGTGTATTCTTTTAGATCATCCAATAGCAGCGAGAGCTCA